GAGAGAGAGAGAGAGAGAGAGAGAGAGAGAGAGAGAGAGAGAGAGAGAGAGAGAGAGAGAGAGAGAGAGAGGAGAGAGAGAGAAAGAGAGAGAGAGAGAGAGGGTTACAAGAGTTGGACAATGAAGAGGACGTTAAGAACTTAATCTCAGTAGAGAGAGAGAGGATTCATCGAGCATCTTAGAGAGAGAAAGAGATTTCTTATTGGGTAAATCAGAGTGTAGGTTCAAATGAACATCTTGAAATCCTTTTCTGAAACAAGTTGTTTCAAATATAGGCATGTCAAACTCCATACTCCATCCCGCCCCAGAAAAACTCAGAACCCAGGAGAGAGAGAGAGTCACTGAATTCAAACGTGGAGCTCATCTGAAAACTCAGATGTTGTGAAAGCTCATCTGAAAACTCAGATATAAGAATTAAAGCTCAAAAATGTTCTCAAAGAGAGAGAGAGAGAGAGGAGTCATTCAGATTAGAGAGAGAGAGAGATCATTAAAAACTAAGTAAGAAATGAAAGAAATGGAACCTGATACTGAATCGACGAACTCGCCATTGATGAAAAGCTTAGTGAACTTCACTTGAGGAAGCTTCAATCCATTCTCTGAATCCCCATTGTATTGAGCCGCCATGCAAGCTTTCTCTCTCTCTCTCTCTTCCTCTTCTTTCTCTCTCTTAATTTTCCCCAAACTCACTGTTTGCTCTTTCAGACCACCACACCCCTAATTGCCGGGTTTTATAGCAGCATACCTTCTTAGAATTAACGAAGATCCGCCACGTGTCGGTCATCTGGCGGTTCCGTCTACGACAATTCATCTTCCCACGCAAGAGCTTTGGGCTGAATGCCACATCAGATCGTTTTATATGCATTATTTTATCCAATTTCTCAACGCATTTATTACAAGAAAAAGTTGTAAGACATACCCGTGATTACCCTTCTAGTGTCCAAAATCATGTCAGACTTTTACACTTTTTTTATTTTATTTTTATTTATTTTTTAGTCAGTGAAGGAGGCCCTTACCCTTGGTTTTTTTTTATTTTTTTTATTTTTTTATTTTTTTATTTTTTATTTTCGGTAAGTGAAGGATGCGTGTCCTCTCGGCTTGGTATGAATTAAGAGCGTTGTAATCTTCAAGCGCCGACCAATTAAGCGGGGGCTATTTTTATAGATTTCAAACTTGACTGGTTGTAAAAACATAATTTTAGGGTTTTCGGATATAAAAATAGTGTATGATATAATACATAATTTAGGTAGGCTATTTTGCCCTCTATTTCTATAAATCTAAGTCATCTCTTTTATCCTAAAAATAAGTGTTTTTAGATGTGCTTGGTTTATATTTTTAGCTTCAAATTTCATAGCGAGAGTTGGAAGTTGATTTTACGGGTGTTAGAAAGTGCGGCTCGCGTCGAGTAATCAATTTTGGCTTAAGCCGATTACTCGGGTCAAGTATGAGTAATTCGGCCAATTAAGTGTTGTAGCAACAAAAAAAAAGGATAAAAAATTATAAAAAAATTAAAAAAATCAAAATAGGAGTAACTAAATAGATTTTAAAACATCAACTTATAACTAAGGCTGTTTTAACCTTTGAAAAGAATAAATTTATATAAGGTGTCAATCTTATACTATATGAGCAACGTGCACTTAAAAAACCCATTGGAAAACCCTCAAATTCATCATCTCGGCCTCAAGATTCATAAATATGGAAAGAAGGGGATTTCTAGTATTAAAAAGAGTTCATCTTCTAACACATTATATGGACCGTCCATTGTCAAGATTTTCAAATACTCATAGATTCGTTTGATTTTCACCATTTCTGGAACTTTAAATTTCATATTTTAGGGCAACAATAAATTTTTATATCATTGCAAGAGTTTACGGCACCGAAAATACATTTTCAACATAGTTTTGAGGTACACCTTACCTCAATAGTATAAGGTTGACACCTTATATACCTCACCTTTTTGAAATAATTCAAAAAAAGATGGAAAAATGTAAAAAAAAAAAACTATTTATGGAGAAAATACTTTTCAATCTTTGCAAAAATAAAAATAAAAAATATAATAAAATTATCCCAAATAAACTTTTTATACTTTATAATTTTTATTTCTTTTAATTTTTTTTTAATATCCCCGAATTGGGTGTCCAATTCAGGACAACTCAGGCTCGGCGAAGGCCCAAGCCAAAGTAACTTCTTACAGCCGTCATGAAGTTTTTTCCTTTCTGGTCGACAATCCAAAGTGAGACCAACCGTTCAAAAAAAAAAAAATGAGACTAAAACGATTTTGCTCTTGGCTGGGGAATGCCGACAAGAGAATGCCCACTGTTTCTAGAATCAATGAACCGAGCCGCCTTGACCCAAGCCTAGCACGAGCAGGCCTGCCCTAAATGACCCAAATTTGAAAAGAAAAAATCAAGGGTCATGTCAGGCCGTTGTTGTGGCTCCTCCTCTAGCTAAGGATGGCAACCGCCTGGGTACGGATTACGTCTGATTGAACCCGAACCTGGATCCGGACCTGAATAGTATTCGGATCTAAAATTTGGTCTCATACCTAGACTCGTCGGGTCTTGGCTCTATCTATCGGATCCAAGGTATGGTCGGCCCTATTGCCACCCTATGACTGAGTTATTTGTTTTTATTTTTGCCCATCTTTTGCTCATTTACTTTGTGATTATGTGCTTCTTCTTTTTCGCTAATAATACTGTAAATATTGACAATATTGTGACAATATGAACACATGTACCTAAAGACATATGATTGCCATCATATACCCTATGACTACAGGTATGGGTCAGGTCCAGCTGGACCCAAACTCAGGAATGGTATTCAGATCCAAAATTTGGACTCGTATTAGATGTGAGGTTCGGTGTACCCATCGGTTCCCGAGTCCAGTAAAGTCCATCGCCGCCCCTAAGTCAGGCTTCACCTGGTTTCACCCTCAGACCATAATGGCCTAGGGTCACATTTTGTCCGATTTCACCCTCAGGTCATCTCATTGTTGGGTCACATTTTGTAGCGCAAGCCCGAGTTCTTCAAAGCCAGGCTAATAAGGTCGGGTTGGGTTGAGTTGTATTTTTCCAGGGCCAAATTATCTGAGTTGGGTTGAGTTGCCTATACATTTGTAGTTACGCAAAAAGAACAAAAAGTCGAGCCCAGCTGATTCAAGCTGGCCTTGTGATGAAGCGATTGAGGGAATAAATAATTATAATAAAATAATAAATATCATCTCTAAAGGTTGGTAAAAGAATCCATTTTAAAAATCTTTTTACAAGATCCAAATTTTTTATTCAATTTTAATATCTTCTCTATAAAAAAATATATATATTTTTTTAAATATATTTAAAAAAAAAAAAAACCCAAAAAACTACTACTCTTCTAGGTGTTTTGGCTATCCCTATATTCTCTCTGTTCATCTCGTCCAACTTTTGCAACTCCCCCTTACCGCACGTTATCCTTTCTTTTTCGACTCCCCCTTATCTTTTTTTAAACCTCACCTTATCCTTTCTATAAATAAAAGATAACTACTAATTATCTTAGGGTGCAGTTTGTATAGAGCCTAAGCTCTAAACAATCAAATTAAAGCCTATCTACAAATGGTGTCAAAGAATGTATTTTCAATACTGAAAATCTTCTTGATAGCCTTAAAATATATTTACATCTTTATTAATAAAGTCTAAAGCTTCAAAAATAGAGTAAATTGAGAGATCTATGAAAACTTCAAAATCTTGAAAATTGACGGTCCAAAAATGTGTTACAAAATACGCAATTTCCAAAACTTGCAATCCATTTTTTTCTCATGTCCATGCATCTTGATGTTGAGATAATCAATTTGAAAGTATTTGGGCATCAAAACAACCTCTTCAAGTAAAATTTTTGAAGTAGGCTTAAATTTGATTGTTTAGAGCCTCGGCTCTCTATAAACTTTTCTCATTATGTTATCTGAATGTTATTTTCTAAATCAAAAGATAGGTAGCTTCCCATGTTTTGGGCGAATCAATAGAGAAAGGGTCCCTAATCCCTTGTAGAAATTGAGCCTAAGATGTAGCTTTTTTTTTTTTGAGTGGATCAGTGAGGAGAGGGCCCCTACCCTTAATAGGAACTGAGGATACAACGTAGCATTGTAAATCGTCAAGCAATAACAAATTAAGCATGTGCGTGAAAGAGCATTACTTGTTTGGTAAATATTGTTACGAAAGTATCTTCATTTAAAAGAGGAAAGGGGTTGTGGGCATGACGGTAATATCCCTATACCCAGTTATCACATCATGGTATCCATTTCTACTGCTGACACCCTCAATTAACACATTCAAATGTAACTCCCTAATCTATTAAAAAAAACAATATGGCCATGTCTTTCCACTTAATTACCCAAAAATCTTCCTTAAAAGAATGAAGCACCATCTTTAAAAGGAGGACTTGCTAACAAAAAAAATTTACCCAAAAAACAAACTTCCTTAGAAGAATGAAGCACGAAGACTTGCTAAAGGCGTAATTCATATAGGAAACGGGTAGGGGCGTACGGAAACAGAACTCCCTTAAACGAAACTTACCAAAAAAAAAAAAAACTTCCTTAAGAAGCAGCTTCCTTAAAAGGACGACTGCTAAAGACGTAATTCTTATAAAGACAATATATGATGAGATCATTTACTTTTTATACAAGGTGGTTACAATTGAGTTTACCATTCGACATGAAATTGGGTGACTATATTTATTTCATTAACTAAATTTAAAATTCAAAAGAATTTTTTTCAAATTTTGTGACACACCCTAAACTATCAAATTTCACTTCAGATGATTGTAAGTAATTGTGGTCTCCTTATACTAAAAATAAATAGTCTTATTATATACAATCTCAGTCATATATGCTCTAAATTCATAACTCACACCCTCACTATAAATAAAAGATTACTTTTCCTAAAAAAAACATAACTCATCAAATAGAATAAATTTAAAAATGAGAAATTACTCTCTTTTTTTTATAATTGCATCTCATTGTTGTGCTGGCCCAGTCGCGACCAGACATGGCCCTCGGACTGGTGTGGACCTTAGCTTAGCCCTTAAGCCATATTTTCTACCTGAGGCCCTAATTTTTTAAGGCCGGGCAAACAGGTCCGGGCCTGTTCTTTATTAGTAGTCCAAAAGAAGGGCACTTTCACTTTTCATGAAAGCGGGTACCCACTGTTTTTTATTATTTTTCATCACAGAACACGTCGACAGAACCATTTTTTAATCCACCCACCCACCCACTGTTTTTGATTTTTCACCGCAGAACGTGGCCATTTGGTTCTTTTTCTTTGGGTGGATTACTAAAACTTGGAGTGAAGAAAAGAGGAATCTCCTTTAGATCCAAATACATATACCGCATTTCTCTTGTGAAGTCCACTTGTTCTTTGTCATCATTCAAATTTTTTTAATTTTTAAAATAATAATGCAAAATATTATATTTATTTCTTTTAACTTTTTATTTCCTAAGAAAAACGAATATGCGTAGGGCATAACACCACCTGTATCAGTTAAAAAATTTGTATACCTTTCTAAATAATTAATATTAATTTGTAATAAAAAGATCTAAAATGAGTCTATAATATAAGGACAAAGTTTATACAAATTTGTAATAAAAAGATCTAAAATGAGTCGATAATATAAGGAAAAAGTTTATACTGGTGCGAGGCTCTAAACAATCAAATTATTGCACGCCTCAAAAATTTCACCAAAAGATATTGTTTTGA